AGCCTGGGCTACCAAGTGAGTTCCAGGAAAGGCGCAAAGCTACACAGAGAAACCCTGTCTCGAAAAAAACCAAAAAAAAAAAAAAAAAAAAAAAGTCTTCCCTATAGTAATGAGTATAAAGGCATCATCTCCATTCTCTCCTCCAGAGATAGAACCATCTATGCAATACTCTGAAAAGTTCAAGTTCAGAATCCTAAAGAAAGCATCAATTTCCACTTTGACAACTCCATTCCTAGTCTACTTCCTACCTTAATGAAACTGTGATCACCACACACCAACTTCAGTTGCTTGTCAATTGTTTTCAGTTGAAAGCAGAAGAGTTGAAATTTATCTCCTTCTTTACCGTTGATGTTGTACCATTTTCCATGCCCTACAACTTCTATGTTATTTTCCCAATCATCCTGTATTTCGTAGATTGTGGTCTTTGGGTTCACTTTTTTCTGCAAAAGTAAAATTAACATTCATTTTCTCAAAGTTATCACATTCAGAAACATTGTTAGACTTTCAAAAGGAGACATTTCATGACTAAATCACAGGGAAATATGAAATCTGTGACAGACACAGGCATATAGGTATCTTCACTGAAATATTCCCAAAGAATTTTTTTATTGCTGCAGTGATTTACTTTTGTTATCTAGAAGATTTGTGCATGGAATTGTTAGGACAATAAATGTTTATCCTGTTTTTCATTACTCCCTATTCCTCAACAGTCTGGATTCTCCATAAACCACTCTGATTGATCTCAGGACTCAGAACTTTGGACAACCATCTTTATATCTTCTAAAGGCATGAATGGCCATTTGCTCTGACAGTTCATTCATTAAATAGGTTAAAGGAAATCTACAGAACAGATAAGATTCCAGTAATTCATTCATTTAGACCCTCTCCATTTACTTACCTCTTTCCAGTATCATATTCAAGTAAGTCAATGTCCCTAATTCATACTCTATTGAGTTTCTCTCAAGCTATTGCTCTTCAACTTTTCAGTTGTGTTCATAAGCATAGTCTCTAAGGAGTGTGCCATAAAGTATGGGTTTAAACTAAAGGGTCTTTTTAAAAGAGGATGGACTAAACAGACTTAAAGTTGCCAAGTTTACAAAACATTTGCTGAGTTCCCCAAGGTTGTCATTTTAAAATACTGAATACCAATACCCTGATTTGGGCCACTGATGCATCAATGAGATGTCTGTGTATATTTCTTCTGTAAATGAGAAAACTAGGTACACTTGCCTCCCAAATATCACTTCATACAATAGTTCTCGATTGCTATGGTCTTCAGAAATAGGTAATTAAGATACAAGTCAACATTGAATCATTAAACCTACTATCTATAAAGATAGAAGATTAATTTTATTGAATAGAAGGATGCCAGCCAATCATGTATGACTCCAAATACCTGTCACAATCAATAATCACACTGATTCAGTCAATCTGTAGAAACAAAGTGTATAGGAAGAAAAGAACGAATATTGTGTAGTTGCAGTGGAGCTTAAAATAACTGAGACAGTTGGCATGGCACTGAAGTATGTCCTACACCATTCCTGCTCACCGTGGCTGAGGGTAGGTATTTTGAAATTAGTAAAATGAAGATCCTTGGTAATTCATTTTCAGGGAACTCTTTAAGAGATATCTTAGGAAGTAGGTTGTTAGTATGTCACCTACTCTTATTCCTTAGTATATGGAGTGATTTCACCTGTTATCCCCAGCCATGGTAAAGATGTCTGTTACAATATTGTTATTATAGTGACTGGAAAGTTATCATATTTGAGTTCAGGTGTTGGTGGAGAAAAAGACAAAAACAAATTTTCAGGCATTACCTTATGTAATGTAAACAACCCATAAACCACTACTCCAAGGCCATAGTTGGGAAAATCAGAAAACTTGGGAGGTTTATTTGCTTCTCTGATAAGACTGTTGGTGACTTCAATCTTCTGGTCAGGACCAGCTTCAAACACAGAGGAAGCCTCATTTATCTCTAGGATTCCTTTGAACTTGAAGTAATTGGAGATTATTATGACATTCTTTTTTGTGAACTTCTCTTTCAGGTTGATGTTGAAAACTTTCACATGGAAATATTCATTCACAGTGGCCACTGTAGCATGAAACATTTTTTTTTTTTACTTAGTGTTTTGATGACTCATATTCAAATGGGTCTATTGCATTGAGCACCATCACTGTCATGGCATCCTTTTGGAGAACAGCACCTCTGGTAATGCTCTGAGTTTGGGTCTGTGTTTTTTTGGTTGAACAAGCACAAGGATATAAATATATAAGTTTATCAGTAAATACAAATTAAACTTCGCATAAGATAAATCACAATCTCTCCATTAGTCTTAACAATTTTTATGTATTTGTAGAAGTGTGTATAAACAAAGGAATAAATCTTTCATTGCCCAAAAGGCTAATTAATGAAAGCAATGGGCTTCAGCCACAGAAATCTGAACACTCACTGAAAATCAGAGGAATCTTTCTAACATGAAGCAAGATGTTCAGCATGAACACAGTACAAGATTTGAGAGCAATTTTATAAAGTACTTAAGTGAGATTATAATTAATTCTAATATATCTTTTAGTCTTATGGCTGAAGATTATAAAAGGGGAAAGTTAAATATTGCTGAAAATACTGAGGGTAAATATAAATCAAAGATGACATAGAACTTTAGTTACCATAGAACTATCTGGGGTTATTCTGAAAGTACACATTGCAGTATATCTTTAAGGAGAAACCAGTCTTCTATTATTAAATATCAAAAACAACATGAGCTGGCCCACAGCCACCTCTTTTTAATAGGCTAATGTAGTGATACTTTGGTTTGACCTATGTCCTTAAACATGGATAGAGAGTTTTCCTCAAGAGCAAGGATTTGTAAATCCAGAGAAATATTATCAGGCATCTAATCTGTTTTCTGCATAGTGTTATGAGTTCAGTGTGTTTTAACAGAGTATTTCACTGATGAGAAGATTGTCTAACTATAAGACAGAGTATGCAAAACAATGAAAATCTATGAACTTCATAGGAGAATAGGAGATAATGTTATTGTCTCACTGGCCCAAGGGAATGAAAATAATAAAAAGCTATCATGTCATAAACAATCATTACCTATGACTGATTAGATTTCACTTGGATCTGGTTTTTTTCATCAGTGTAACCAATTAGTATAAAATGGAAATAAAAAAGGGATATAATTAGTGGTAGTCATGGGTATAAAAGTAAACAAGTAGCAATGACTAGATTTAAATTAGCAATAAAATTATAGGATGTGCATAAAATAAATTAGTGGGTTTTAGAAGGCCACCAAATGATCCTTAATGCACACATTTCAAGGATAATCACTGAAAGTGATACTGAGCTTGTAGTAGTAGATAAGCAATCTAAAATGAATTACTTAAAAAAGGAACAGAAACACTGATGTAACCATTGAATATGATATGAATTTTAACTTAGAGACTTGGAAAGATAGCCCTGATATGTTAAATTTGAAAAGCAAATAATAAATAACTATTTTGAGATGTTACACTAGAAAAATTTTCCACATAATTATAAAAGTATCTGAGAAGTACAAAGAAAACCCTTTAAATTATCTGAATGGTAAGGTTTGAGGTGAATAAACTTTCTTCTGTTATTGCTTAACTGTCTGATTATATTTCTTTGAGTGAGAAAAAGAAGGCGGTAGAGGTGAAGAAGGAAGGATAGAGAGAGGAAAGGGAGAGTCCAGAGAATGGATGCTGATAATGTTGTAGTCTTCCCTATGTGACAAATCATTTGTTTCCTTCAATGAGAACTCAGAAAAACTAAGAGGCATCAATCATCCTATTTTCATGTGTTATTACATTAATATTGATACTTGATACTGAAGGAATATATGAGAAGACCAAATGAAAGTATCCTGACCTGAAAAACTCAAACATGGCATAATAGATTGTAGCTCACTTCTTTCCACTCCCAGTTTCTGGTAAACATCATATTTTCCTGTATTTCCAAATTTTTTAAATTTCTCTCATTACATTTTTGGTATTTTTCTATTATTTTTATTTAATTTTTTATACAATATATATTGATTATGTTTCTTTCCCCCCAACTCTCCCAGATCTTCTCCTCTCCCCATTTATCTTCATGTTCTTCCTCTCATTCTCAAAAATTAATAAAAACATAAAAAGTAAAATCAGAAAAAAAATTCCCAAGTAAACAAAATACCTTCCTCACAAAAAAACACATGAAGCTCTTTTTATATTGGCCGACTACTCCCAGCCATGGGGCCTGCATAGAATGTGGTTGATAGTCTCCATTGGAGAAGCCTCCCCCGAGGACTGAGATAGACCTGTCGATCGACTCAGTCCAGGCAGGTCCAGTCCCCTCCTCCCAGATTGAGCCAAGCATCCCTGCATAAGTTCCAGGTTTCAAACAGCTAACTCATGCAATGAGCCCAGGACCTGGAACCACTGCCTAGATGCCTCCCAAACAGATCAAGCCAATCAACTATCTCAGCTATTCAGAGGGCCTGATCCAGTTGTTAGCCCTCCTATATACAATGTACAAAGAATCTGAGATGGAAATCAGAGATACATCACCCTTTACAATAGCCACAAATGACATAAAATACCTTGGGGTAACACTAACCAAGCAAGTGAAGGACCTATATGATAAGAACTTTAAGTCCCTGAAAAAAGAAATTGAAGATGTCAGAAAATGTAAAGATCTCCCATGCTCATGGATAGGCAGGACCAATATAGTAAAAATGGCAATCTTACCAAAAGCAATCTACAGATTCAATGCTAATCAAAATCCCCATCAAAATACCAACACAATTCTTCACAGACCTGGAAAGAATAATACTCAACTTCATATGGAAAAACCAGAGTTCAATTTTAAATAACTCAGGAAAAGTCATATTTAGAAATTTATTTCACTTTCAATAGTCAAAATGTTTTTGTTTAATCTCATTCCACTGTGGTGGAGGAATAAAGATGCCATGTAACACAAATTTTAAAAGGCCTCAGTAAAAAAAAAGGGGGGGGGAGCCAGTTAATGGGGTAAAAGCTGAAAGATCAGAGAAATAGAACAAGCCACAGCCAACCTCACCTTGTAGACTCCTCAGCCAATACTGTGTCCACGAATCCTCAGACTGAAAACCTCTGAGTCCTCACCCCTGAGGGTCTCAGTTGAACCTCTGCTTAATTCCTGTCTCCTCACAACTTACATACCATTCTCCACTCAGCCATGTCACTTCCTGGGATTAAAGGCGCATGTGCTTTCCAAGCAAGGGCATGAGATCTCAAGTGCTAGGACTGAAGGTGTGTGCCACCACTGCCTGGCTCTGTTTCCAGTATGGTCTTGAACTCACAGAGATCCAGAAGGATCTCTGCCTCCTGGGTGATAAGATTAAGGGTGTGTGCCACCACTGCCTGACTTCTATGTCTAATCTAGTGGCTGGCTCTGTCCTCTGGTCCCCAGATAAGTTTATTAGGGTATGCAATATATCACCACAATGCCATCTTTATTCCATCATCTGTCATGTCCCTGAGTGAAGCATCCAAAACCAGCTATAGCAGGTTCACTGCTGTGAGTGTAGCTGGCACCAGCCAGCCCTGGTTCCTCCACCCTCCAACACTAATATATATATATA